TGCAGTCAGTGTAAACTGTAAGGACAGTATAAGTATGTAACGCCAACGTCCACCTTGTAATTTCTTTGACTTTGTATTGCAGTCTTTGTAGACTGTAGGACAGTATAAGTATGCAACGCCAACGTCCACCCTGGAATTCCTGTGCCTTTGTATGGCAGACTTCGTAAACTGCAAGGACAAGGACAGTACAAGTATGTAACGCCAACGTCCACCCTGAAATCGCTCTGGGTTCCTGGTATTGTTGGTTTTATACGCTGAAAGGACCGCGTATGTACGTAACGCCAACGTCCACCCTGAAAATTGCTGTGTCTTTGTATTCCAGTCTGTGTGAACTGTAAAGACAGTATAAGTATGTAACGCCAACGTCCACCCTGGAGTTGCTCTGTCTGGGTGGACAATATAAGTATGTAACGCCAACGTCCACCCTTAAGTTGCCGTGTCTTTGTATTGCAGACTTTGCCAACTGCAAGGACAGTATAAGTATGTAACGCCAACGTCCACCCTGAATTTGCCGTGGCTTTGTAGGGCATACTTTGAATTTGCCGTGGCTTTGTAGTGCATACTTTGCATAAACCGCAAGGACAGTACAAGCACGTAACGCCAACGTCCACCCTGGAATTGCTGTGGCTTTGTATGGCGTATTTTGTAAACTGTAAGGACAGAAACTGCAAGGACAGTATAAGTATGTAACGCCAACATCCACCCTGAAATCGCAGCGCACTCGTCGTATTCTTGGTGCTTTGTCTTTGTAAACGGTAAGGACAGCATAAGTATGTAACGCCAACGTCCACCCTGAATTGCTCTGTCTGGGACGACAGCATAAGTATGTAACGCCAACGTCCACCCTGAATTGCTCTGTCTGGGACGACAGCATAAGTATGTAACGCCAACGTCCACCCCGAAGCTGCCGTGGCTTTGTATTGCAGACGTTGTCAACTGCAAGGACTGTATAAGTAAGTAACGCCAACGTCCACCCGGAAATCCCTGTGGCTCTGCATTGTAGACTTTTCATTCTATAAAACAATTAGAGTGCGTAACGCCAACGTCCACCTTGAAATTGCCGTGGCTTCGTATTGCCAACCTTTTAAGTTGTATTCGCTTGTTGAGCGCTGTTTTCGAAACCAGCGTGCCCAACTAGCATCCTTGTTTTTGTTTTAGCAAATGCCGCAACTGGTATCCCTGTATTCGCTTTTCGAGTGCTGTTTTTGAAAATGTGCCTCCAACTAGCATTTGTTTTCTTGGAACCAACGTGTCAAGTTCACGCAGTGTTTGGTGTAATGCAGGAGCCGAGCTGTTACGGCAGTGTTCGGAGTACTGCATGCACGGTCTTGTTGCAAGGCTTGCACTATATTTCTAACAGAACCCAGTATGTTCCTATCACGTGAAGATGGCTGCTGCTACCGATAGGCCCCATTCCGTAATGATGCCCTTTCGGATTGGTCGATTTGTTTGTGATCCCGAAGCTGACTTAGCAAGTTTCTGGTTCAACCTTGCCGCTATCTAACCCAAGGAGTTGGATTCGATGAGTCGCACATCGATGCCATGCCAGCTGTGTGAGTGACGAATGCAGCTGCTGCGAGTATATTGTTTCGCGAGAAAAGCGAACTGTCGAGCTCCATGTCTACCACACGGGTAAGCGAGTGCTCCACGAGTGCAGCACTGGACAGCACTTTGTAGTGGGGCTCAAGTCGTTTCTTGCCGTCCTGCTTCGAACTCCTTGGTAGCTTTTTCCAAACTCGGCATGGACAGTGGGCTTCGGCCTCAGAGTTCGAGTGAATCGAGCGCTCGAACCATGCCTGAAGCCACCTTGCTAGGACTGATGATCCCATGTCGGAGGTCATCGAAGACCAATAGGAGAGTCTAGCGAACGGCTCCCTGTCAGTGCTCGCGACAGGCAGAAAGCGGCTCCGATATGTTCGCATGGCGCGAAACCCAGCAGCTCGATCAGACCTGGCAATCGACTTGCGACATGTTTCCAATGAGGGGCGTGGGAGACATCCGTTCAAGTGGGGCGCAGAGGTGGGTTGGGCTGCCTCCCATTTTTTCAAGATCTGATGGTCCAGAGATATGCCACCACCACAGGCTTGCGATGGTAACGTAATCATGTCCCCAAACCTCCTCGCTGGAAAGTTGCTCACAGCCACAGGCTTGCGACGGTAACGTAATCGTGTCCCCAAACCTCGTCGCTGGAAAGTTGCTTACAGCCACGACTTGCGATGGTAACGTAATCGTGTCCCCAATTCTCGTCGCTGGAAAGTTGCTCATTGCCACAGGCTTGCGATGGTAACGTAATCGTGTCCCGGAACCTGGTCGCTGGAAAGTTGCTCACAGCCACAGGCTTGCGATGGTAACGTAATCGTGTCTCCAAACCTCGTCGCTGGAAAGTTGCTCACTGCCACAGGCTTGCGATGGTAACGTAATCGTGTCCCCAAACCTCGTCCCTGGAAAGTTGCTCACAGCCACAGCAACAGGCTTGCGATGGTAACGTAATCGTGTTCCACCAAAGCTAGGCGAGATTAAAAGAACCTCCGGTTGGTTTGCAACAAACAGGAGGGAAGGTGACATCGACGGGAGCGCGCTTGGACCCGAGAAGAGACGGTCAGTGTCAACACCGCATCAACCGATTGAAAACGATCCGCTCGACATGTCAGGAGCGACGTGCACATGCCAGAAATGCCAGAGGACCACGAGACCTTGCCAGCACTCCATGTTTTAGCAGATGCTTCTGTAGTCTCAGGAGGAAGAGAGTGGCTCCGAGATTTCTGCATGGCCCGAGACTTAGCAAACGGCCGTCACTCGGCAGACTACCGCCGACATGCTTGAAACAACGCACTCGTGCATACACAGGGGCGTGGAAGATTTGCGAAATGTAGAAAGAAGTGTAGGGACAGTATAAGTAGGTAACACCAACGTCCACCCTCAAGCTGCTGTGGCTTTGTATCGTTGGCCTTGTAAACTCTAACGACCGTAAAAGTATGTAACGCCAACGTCCAACCTGAAACTGCTGTGGCGCTGTATTGCAGTCTGTGTAAACTGTAAGGACAGTGTAAGTATGTAACGCCAGCGTCCACCCAGGAATTGCTTTGTCTGTAACGACAGTATAGGTGTGTAACGCCAACGTCCACCCTGCAGTTGACGTGACTTTGGATTGCAGACTTTGCGAAACCGTGAGGACAGTATAAGTATGTAACGCCAACGTCCACCTTGAAATTGCCGTGGTGTTGTATTGCAGACTTCGTAAACTGTACAGAGGGCATATGTACGTAACGCCAACGTCCACCCCGGAATTGCCCCGGCTTTGTATATAGCAGACGTTGTAAACTGCAAAGACAGTAACAGTATGTAACGCCAACGTTCACCCTGAATTTGCTGTGCCTTTGTATTGCAGAGTTTGTAGAGTGTAAGGACCGTATAAGTATGTAACTCCAACGTCCACCCTTGAAATACTTTGACTCTGTATTGCAGTCATTGTAAATCGTAATCACACTATAAGTATGTAACGCCAACGTCCACCCTCAAGCTGGTGTGCCCTCGTATTGTTAGCTTTATAAACTGTAAGACCGTATAAGTATGTAACGCCAACGTCCACCTTCAAATTGCCTGGACTCTGTATCGCATTCTTTGTAAACTGCAAGGACAGTAAAAGTATGTAACGCCAACGTCCACCCTGGAATTGCTCTGTCTGGGAGGACAGTATAAGTATGTAACGCCAACGTCCACCCTGAAGTTGCCGTGGCTTTGTATTGCAGACTTTGCCAACTGCAAGGACAGTCTAAGTATATAATGCCAACGTCCAGCCAGGAATTCCTGTGGCTTTGTATGGCAGACTTCGTAAACTGCAAGGACAGTATAAGTGTGTAACGCCAACGTCCACCTTGGTATTGCCGTGGCTTTGTGGTGCAGACTTAAGTTGCATAAACTGTAAAGACAGTACAAGTACGTAACGCCAACGTCCACCCTCGATTGCTGTGGCTTTGTATGGCAGACTTTGTGTACCGTAAGGACAGTAACTGCAAGGACAGTATAAGTATGTAACGCCAACGTCCACCCTGCAATCGCTGTGGGTTCGTCGAACCAGCTTGTCGAGAATACACACGCCAGGGGCGTGGAAAACATCTATGCCCGAACGCGAGGAGCTCACACGGACTGTAAGCTAGGCCATTCGCATCGGATCTACTTCGCAAGGTGCTCACCAGATCCTGAACAACTGGAGACGACGGCACTTCTCTATCGAGCCCGTCGAGACAACCCGGGTGCTTTCCGAGAAAAGCTGCAGGAAGTCGAAGCTCTGCTTGGCGAAGAAGAACTAGCAAAGCAACTTCGCCTGCTCGAAGAATACACCGCCAATGCCGACATCTCGGCAGAAGCGAAAAGATCCTCGACGCCGAAGCCCGCACCAGCTCCGCCGACGCCCGGCGCGGCGGCCAGCTCGCGAGTACTCGGTCAGGACCCCGGCCTCGCTGCAAAGCAACAGCACCACGGCCTCCTCATACCGAGCACGCTTCTATCAGGTCACATGGCGGAGCCGATGACGGATTCCTCAGAGGACGCCTACCACGACAAATCACGCATTTGTTTTTTTGCAGTCGAACCGCGAGGATGAAAGCGATTCCGGAAAATCCGCATGGCCCGACACCCGGTAAAGCAAGCAGCCGAACCAGCTTGACAAGCGTAAACACCGCCAGGGGCATCAAAGACATCTATGCCGAAGCGCAGGGAACTCAGACGGACAAAGACTGAATCTGTTGAGTTGTAGTTTGCAAGGCGTCGTCGGCCAGATCGGACGGCGGAGCCCGCAGCAGCTCCGTCGACGCCCGGCGCGGCGGCCAGCTCGCTAGTATTCGGTCAGGACCCCGGCCTCGCTGCAAAGCAACAGCACCACGGCCTCCTCATACCGAGCACGCTACTATCAGGTCACATGGCGGAGCCGATGACGGATTCCTCAGAGGACGCTTACCACGACAAATCAAGCATTTGTTTTTTGCACTCGAACCGCGAGGATGAAAGCGATTCCGGAAAATCCGCATGGCCCGACACCCGGTAAAGCGAGCAACCGAACCAGCTTGACAAGCGTAAACACCGCCAGGGGCATCAAAGACATCTATGCCGAAGCGCAGGGAACTCAGACGGACGAAGACTGAATCTGTTGAGTTGTAGTTCGCAAGGCGTCGTCGGCCACATCGGACGGCGAAGCCCGCAGCAGCTCCGTCGACGCCCGGCGCGGCGGCAAGCTCGCTAGTACTCGGTCAGGACCCCGGCCTCGCTGCAAAGCAACAGCACCACGGCTTCCTCATACCGAGCACGCTACTATCAGGTCACATGACGGAGCCGATGACGGATTCCTCAGAGGACGCTTACCACAGCAAATCAAGCATTTGTTGTTTTGCAGTCGAACCGCGAGGATGAAAGCGATTCCGGAAGATCCGCATGGCCCGGCACCCGGTACAGCAAGCAACCGAACCAACTTGACGAGCGTAAACACCGCCAGGGGCATCAAAGACATCTATGCCGAAGCGCAGGGAACTCAGACGGACGAAGACTGAATCCGTTGAGTTGTAGTTCGCAAGGCGTCGTCGGCCAGATCGTGAGCAACGGGAAACAACAGCTCTTCTCCACCGAGTCCGCGAGGACGATCCAGAGGCTTTCCGGGAGAAGCTGCAGGAAATCGAAGCCATACTTGGCGACGAAGAACTAGCAAGGCAGCTTCGCCTGCTTGACGTGCACACCGCAAACGTCCATACCTCGGCGGGAACGAAGAGGTCGTTGGCAGCAGGACCCGCGGCGGCTGCAGCCAGGCCCGCAGCAACGGAAGTTGCACCGCCGACAGCAGCGGAAGCTCCGCGTTGGGCGCTGACAATCAAACCACGGTGGTGCCGTAAAATCCTGGACGGAAGCAAAGTGTGGGAAATCAAAGGACAGGGCTGCAAGAAGCATTTGCACGAGAGGATCTGCATCGCGGAATCTGGCACAAACCGTTTGCTGGGAGAGATGACAATTGCCAAAAGCTTCAAGGTTACACGACAAGACCTCGAAGCTAACAGACACTTACACCAGATCGACGACCTCTCCACGATCACCTACGCCACCATTTACGCGTGGGTCCTCGAAGATGTGGAAGCTTACCAACAGCCTCGTCCTTTCAGCAGGTCGCCAGGAAACCCGTGCTGGGTGGACCTGCACGCTCCGCCCAAACAGAGGGAGAAGCGTGTGAATCCAAGAGAGGCTGAAACGTCGGCAGGAGCAACGGGATCGTCGCCCGTGGAACGCACAGCAGATCCGGCGACGTTTGCAGTGGAGGAGGTGACATCACCGACAGCAGAACCTCCGCGGTGGGCACAGACGATCAAGCCAGAATGGTGCCGGAAGATCTTAGATGGCAGCAAAATTTGGGAAATCAAAGGACAGAACTGCAAGAAGCATTTGCACGAGAGGATCTGCATCGCTGAGTCTGGATCCAAGAGGTTGCTGGGAGAGATGACAATTCGTCAAAGTATCAAGATTACACGAGAAGACCTCGAGGCCAACAGACACTTGCACCAGATCGACGACCTCTCGATTATCACCTACACGACCATTTACGCGTGGGTCCTCGAAGACGTGGAAGCTTACCAACGGCCTTGTCCTTATAGCAGGTTGACAGGAAGCATCGGCTGGGTGGACCTACGTCCCCCACCCAGACAGGACATGGAGTGCCAGAATCCGGAATGTTGCTTCGGAGTGACGCGCCGCAATGCCCGAGGAATGGCCTACGTTCGATCTCGCGATGGCGTGAGATTTCAGCACTGCGTCTTCTGCTCCGCGGACGCCTTTCGTGCAGCGACAGAAGAAGGCAACGGCCGATGCATTCAAAGATGGCTCACGCAACTGCGAAGCTTCGACGACGACCGCTACACCCGGGCATTACAGAGACTTCAACAAGAACACGGCCAAGAAACGATCGAACGCTTCGGGCCGAAGCAGCCCGCCCAGAAGAAGAAGAAGAACAAGAGCCCCACGACCACATGGAAGACTTCGCTGGAATATCGTCAGTCGACAGTGACGACGACGAAGGCCGCTCGCCTGGAATTCGAAACCACCAAGGAACGAGCCGACAGACGATTGCAAAGAAAGTTTCCTGCATTGTACAAGGAAAACATCCGAGATAAGACGGAGTGGATGCCTCCTCGGGCCGCAGCTTTCGAGAAGTGGTGTCGAGACGATTCGTGGCAGATGTGCAGTTCCTGCGGCCGCATGGTACCACAAGCCTTCCGCGCCAAGCATGCCAGTGGCAAGGCCGTTACCAATTCGGAATTATCCGCATGTGGACACTGCAAGTCCGGCGGCTCCACAGGTTATTGGGCTCCCACTCCTGCAGACGGCCCCAAGCGCTTGCGGAAGTTGTCGGCGGAAGCCATCGAAGCTTTGCGACCCTTCGATGTTCATACAGGAGGGACCGTGCGAGCCCCCAACGGCTACTTGGTGCACAACGACATGATGCGCTTCTCGTTCAAGACTTCCTCTGTGGAGGAAAACATTGCCAAACTTCCGAGGAAAGAGAAAGACCGAGCGGAGAAAGCATTGGCATATCTGCTGGGAGATCGTTCCAACTCCTACTACGTGTACTTCTGGCAACTCCACGAGAAACGCCTGCGAGCAAGACAAAGGGCAATCCAACGAGGCGACATCTGGTGGGGAACGCCTGAGAGGCGAATGCCGACGAACTTCATCGAGACCGTCGGCATCGAATGCGCGCTGTGGCCGCACCTGTACTGGTGCGTGGAAATGACGGAGACGTACGTGAGATCCCAAGACGCACGCAGACTGCAGCGGCGACGGCGAGATCAGCAAGAGGACAGCGAGGAAGACCTCGATGGATGCGAGCAGAAGGCGTCGAGACAGAGCGCCAAAGCAAGTTATCTGGCCAAAGCTCACTCCGCAGTAATCGGGTACAACTCTGATCCACTGTTGCTGCACTTCGTCTACGACCTCTGGCTCTTCACCACCATCGGAGGAGCCAAGAACAGCGCCGGCACGGGGAACTTGAGAGAAGCCTTGGCCACGAAGCCATACTCTCCCGAGCTCTGGCGAACCTACCACACCGCGCTGGTGGATCTGCAACGACAGGTGGGGTGGCCGAGCCTCTTCATTACCATCGCTCCCTACGAGTGGTCGTTCCCGTACCATCAGTGGCTGCAAGACGAGCTGAACAAATCTCTCCTAGCCAGGCTCGAGATGCCAGTAGCAGAGACCTTGCATCTGGCCCATGTGCTTACTCAGGCAGTGAAAGGTCTTCTAACCGGAGCGAACGAAGGCCTGCAGGCCAAGCGAGAGCACGTCTTCTGTTCCGGAGAAGGACCCGGCAAAGTTCGGCACTGGGTGGCCAGGTTGGAATTCCAAGACGGCAAGCGGAAACGGCACGTGCATCGAACCGGCCAGTTCTACCACGGACGCGGAGCGGTTCACGTGCACATCCTTCTGTGGCTATCGGACATGCAAGCCATGGAACTGTCCTCGAAGATCCGCGCCGACATACCCGGCGAGGGCGAGCCGGAGATGCGCGATCTGGTGTTGGGCTCCCAACTGGACTACACCTCAAGCGGCTGGCCGGCACGCGAAGAACCCACCGAGGTAAGCAAGGAAGACCAGCGACTGAAACTGCATCATCCTCGCGAAGCTTTCGAAAGATGCTGTCGGGCATACGTCTCAGACGTCCTGGCCGCCCTTCGCTGCCACGTAGATGTCCAAGCATCGGATGGTCGCGCGATGATTCTGAAGTACTGCGCCAGCGCCTTGTTTGCAATCCGAGTAAACCGATTTCAGCATTTAGTCGTGATGTCCTCACGGTTTGCTGCACCTCGCCGCGCAGGCTACCTTCCGAAGTTCAGCAGCTCCTTTGCAGCGGAACTACTCAACAACGAAGCCAGCGATTACTCGCTGGCGCGCCGCGTGCTAGCAGACTACCACCCGCTGCAGCCCGAAATGGTCATGCAGCTTGCGATGCAGCAACACCCGCAGTTCATCTGCCCAGCCACCGTGCGCAAGTTCGTCGTACCCGTTCCTTGGCAAAAGGAGATGCCCAAGCTCGTGCAGAACTACATGACGAGTTCCTGGAGACGTCCCAACATGAGCCTCTTGGACTTTCTCAGAAAATCAGGCAACGACGGCCAGATATCCCAAAAATACCGTCGCATGCACAGCCACCTCAAGATCGGCATGCCCCTGAACGATTGGATTAATGTGCACCCGGCCGACGGCAAAATCCTGGTGGCCGATATCCCGTACGCGCACACCAACGATCGACGCTACGGCCAATGGTTGCTCTTGAACGTGCCCTTCCGGAATGTCGACGACCTCTGGCTCGAGAACGCGGAAAAACTGCCAGAGAACCTGAAATTTCTCGGACTTTGCGTACTCCACCGCCGTCGCTTCTGGCGGGATCCACAAAAGATTCGAGCGGAGTTGGAAAAAGAGGCTCGCAGCGAGACGTACATCCAGAACACGCTGGCCATGCTGGCGGCCCGCATCGAGCTGATCGACGCTTACCTCTCCGGGGAGATGACAGTGGAGAAGGAGCCGGAGCCTGCATTGGACGGAGTTGCCAAAGTGGCCAGCGCCAACATCAAGGTTGCACCGGAGCAAGCGAACGTCATCCACACCATCCGCCGACGAGTTCAACAAGCGCTGGAAGCAAAATGGCCAGAAGACAACCAAGTCGAGTCCTGGGCCATGTGGTTCGATCAAACAATGCCCGCCAACACTGCCACGGTCGTATTGGGACCGGCCGGCAGCGGAAAGAGCACCGCGGTCGAGATCGCTTTGGCCGAAGCCGTCAAGGCCGGAGCGCACGTCGGTGTGGCGTGCCCGACGGGCATGTTGGCTACGCGGTACAGGAGTCGCTATCCGGATCTGGACATCGACACCGTGCACGGCATGTTCGCATTGCACAAGGACGAGCTGACGACCGCAGACATCATGAAGATCTACGATCTCATCATCATCGACGAGATTGGACAGCTCCCCGTCTGGATCTTCGATCGACTGCTTCGGCTCTGGGACGCGGCCGAGCGAAGGCCCGCCATCGTGTTCGTCGGCGACTTCTGTCAGCTGACCGGCGCGGACGGCACCACGGCAAGAGACAGCCCCAGGTGGGCCCAGATGAGCATCTCCACCCTGTTCGAGATGCGCCGATGCAAATGTGCCAAGTTGAAGTGGAAGCTACAACTACTGAGGAACTCAATACCGAGCGGGGCACAGCTCAAGAAACTCCTCAAAGGCCACCGGGCTAATGCTCATGCAGGCCACGCTCACGGCAACGTCGTTACCGCAGACGACGTGGCCCAAGTGTTCAAGGAGAGGCCGAACACCACTTTCGTCACCATATCCCGGCGCGGGACCGCCAAGGTGAACCAGCACGCAGTGCGCGCTCTCTTCTCCGATGCGGACGTCCTTGGACGCATACCTTGCGATCCACAGGAGAACTTCGACAACTTCCACGGCACCGCGCAAGTCGCTGCAGAACCATTCTGGATGCCCGTCTACGAAGGCATGCGAGTGACCATCACCAGAAACACGGACAAAGAGAACGGCTTCGTCAACGGCATGGGTGCGGTCGTACAGCGCATGAGACACAGCGGCGTACAGGTCAAGACCGACGAAGGCAAGGTGCTCCTGATTCATCCCATCGCTCAAGAGTGCGCCTTGTGGGATGGCAGCGTTCAGACCACCACCGCTTTTCCGCTGCGACTGGGCTACAGCACCACCTTGCACAAAATTCAAGGTGCCACCCTGTCCCACATCACCATTTGGATGGATGTTCCTTTCGTGAAGGCAGCACTGTATGTAGCACTCTCGCGGGTACAGTACGACCGCGATTGGAAGTTCGTAGGAAGCATCGACCGCCGCCACTGCCTGCCAGCAGCAATCTGAAATGCACAAACAGTCCTTACCAGCTCCACCCGAACATCGCTGAACTACGAAATCTTCCGAGACAAGACGAGCTGCCGTGGCCCCAGTGACTGCGGAGCGGATGCTATCCCCGCAGCGGCATTTGTGCGAACGGCAGAATTGCAGAGCGAAAAAAGTTCGTGCAAGCCCGAATGACCGCGGCAATGCCGAATGCAGACTGAGTTTCGTGCGTTGCTCGCCGCCCCACAACAGCGACACGCAAGGCCCATCAAGTATTCCGACCAAGCCCCTTCCTAACGACACGCAAACCTTAAGTACCATTACGATCACATGATTGTTCCATGTTTCCTGAATGCAAAGCACTGCCGAGGTGCAATGCTTGTCACGAACAAAAGAGACCTCGAGTGCCATGCCATGCCTCCGTTTCTCCGACGACTCCGGTGCATCAACGACGCAGGCCACACAGGGTGAAGCTCCGGTGTCTCAACGACGCAGGCCACACAGGATGGAGCCGAATGCATAGCACTGTGTCACCCGGACAGACATCAAGAATCGAAACTTACCGACCCCCAACCTAACGAACTAACACACGTCGACAGACAGCGCTCAGGCAATGGTCGGACGAGGCGAAAAACGTTTGCCCCGGCCTCGGTCACCAGGAAGGGTCACTGCCACTCAGTCGTGTCAAATGCCAGATACCAACAAGTTCCGAGTGCGTACTAAAGTCCGAAAGCAAATAGCTTAAGGCTTAATCCTTTATTCCTTGTTCTTGTTCTCAATTCACATTCCAAATTCTTATTCGAATTCCAAGTCACTACTGCTTATTCTTAGCTCCTGGTCCAAATACTTGACCAAGTCCTAAAGAATCACTAAGCCCCCGGATCAGTGTCCCCTCGAGATCCGCCACCGGCGTGCATCAAAAAGCATTCGTCATGAACAGACTTCGACAACCGAAAATCATCCACCGAGCCGCCCAATTCATAGTCCCTAATTCTTATTCCCATTTATAGCCCCCAATTCTTATTCCCAATTCATATTCGCTAATCTATACTCCCCAAATTCCAAAACCCAAATCCTCAAGCAACATCCCAAATATGAATTAGGCACCATAAAAGAAGATTCCCTCGAGATCCACCACCAGCCTACATTAACAGGCACTTCTTATGAACAGACTTTGACAACAGAAAATCCGTCCACCAATCCTTGCAATTCTCGTGCCCAAATGTTTTAACCAATTCTTAGTCCGAATTCTTATTCGCTAATTCTTATTCCCCAAATCCTAAAGCCCAAATCCTAAAGCGAAACTCTAAGAATTGGCCCCAATTCTTATTCCCAAATCCTAAAGCCGAAATCCTATACCTAAATCCTAAAGCCGAAATCCTAAAGCGAAACTCTAAAGAATAAGAATTGGCCCCAATTCTTATTCCGAAATCATAAAGCCCAAATCCTAAAGCCTAAATCCTAAAGCCGAAATCCTAAAGCGAAACTCTAAAGAATAAGAATTGGCCCCAATTCTTATTCCGAAATCCTAAAGCCGAAATCCTAAAGCCTAAATCCTAAAGCCGAAATCCTAAAGCGAAACTCTAAAGAATAAGAATTGGGGCCCAATTCTTAAAGAAATCCTCAAACGGCAATGTAACGAATAAGAATTAGCTAAATCCTAAAGCGAAATCCTAAAGCGAAATCCTAAAGCGAAACTCTAAAGAATAAGAATTAGAGCCCAATTCTTATTCCTAATTCTTATTCTTTAAGAATTCGCACCCCAATCGCAGAAGCTCTGCCCCCGGGGCACAGGGTTTAGGGTATAACTATATATAGGACAGTACTGTCGTCGACCCACTGCTTAGCGGTGGCACGGCCTTAACCTTGGTGAGACAGTAGAAGCGCTGTGTAGGCACACTGCATATGGCGATGCCTTCTAACGCCGAAAAGGCAGGGGAGGCCGCAGCGGTGGGCCGACAGGGCCCACCGGCCTGCGCCCCCTGAGTTTAGGGTTTAGGGTTTAGGGTTTGCTAAATGTTCCGCGCACACCACCATGCAGGCATGTGTTGTGGTGTGCGCGGCGTTCAGCGCCCTTGCCCAACCCACCCACCCACATCTCAACCTTGACGGGTTTAGGGTTTTTTGATGGATGTTTTTGGCGGTTTTCTTTTCCTTTCGGGAGCTATGGATGAAGTAGGGCGAACCTATTGGTCTTTATAACCTTTGCTTGGAACCAGGCATATTATTTTTGGACAAATCTAGATCATGACGTCACGACGCTAAGATGTGAAACCTAGAAGTCTTTCAAGGCCAGAACGAATCTGACGCGATGGATGTTTTTGGTGCTTTTCTTTTCCTTTCGGAGCTATGGATGAAGTAGGGCGAACCTGCTGGTCTTTATAACCTCTGCTTGGAACCAGGCATATTATTTTTGGACAAATCTAGATCATGACGTCACGACGCTAAGATGTGAAACCTGGAAGTCTTTCAAGGCCAGAACGAATCTGACGCGATGGCTCCCTTTGGTTATTGCACCGGCAAAGCAAATGAAAATCAGGCATGATGACTCAACTTCCACCAAGATAGCTTTGGGTATTGCACCGGCAAAAGAAATGAACATCAGGCTTTATGACCCCATTTCTACCAAGGTGGCTTTGGTTACAAAAGAAATGAATATCTTTATGATTCAACTTCTACCAAGGTGGCTCGCAGGGGCCTCCCAGGGGCTTCCCAAGGGCCTCAAGGCCAGAACGAATCTGACGCGATGGCTCCCTTTGGTTATTGCACCGGCAAAGCAAATGAAAATCAGGATTTATGACTCAACTCCCACCAAGGTAGCTTTGGGTATTGCGCCGGCAAAAGAAATGAACATCAGGCTTTATGACCCAATTTCACTTTGGTTACAAAAGAAATGAATATCTTTATGATTCAACTTCTACCACGGTGACTCACAGGGGCCTCCCAAGGGCCTCAAGGCCAGAACGAATCTGACGCGATGGCTCCCTTTGGTTATTGCACCGGCAAAGCAAACGAAAATCAGGCTTTATGACTCAACTTCCACCAAGGTAGCTTTGGGTATTGCACCGGCAAAAGAAATGAACATCAGGTTCTACCAAGGTGGCTTTGGTTACAAAAGAAATGAATATCTTTATGATTCAACTTCTACCACGGTGACTCGCAGGGGCCTCCCAGGGGCCTCCCAAGGGCCTCAAGGCCAGAACGAATCTGACGCGATGGCTCCCTTTGGTTATTGCACCTGCAAAGCAAATGAAATTATGACTCAACTTCTACCAAGGTAGCTTTGGGTATTGCACCGACAAAAGAAATGAACATCAGGCTTTATGACCCAATTTCTACCAAGGTGGCTTTGGTTACGAAAGAAATGAATATCTTTATGATTCAACTTCTAACAACGTGGCTCGCAGGGACCTCCAGGGGCCTCCCAGGGACCTTCAAGGCCAGAACGAATCTGACGCGATGGCTCCCTTTGGTTATTGCACCGGCAAAGCAACTGAAAATCAGGCTTTATGACTCAACTTCCTCCAAGGTAGCTTTGGGTATTGCACCTGCAAAGGAAATGAACATCAGGCTGTATGACCCAATTTCTAGGTAACTTTGGTCACAAAAGAAAAGAATATCTTTAGGACTCAACTTCTACCAAGGTGGCTCAAGGGGCCTCCCTCCCAGGAACCTCCCCGAGGACCTCCCAGGAACCTCCCAGGAACCTCCCAGAAGCCTCCCAGAACCTCGGACCCAGCGGCCTCCTCACAAGCAGGAGCTTTTCAGGCCTTGCATGAGCCAGGGTGAGCCAGGGTGAGCCAGGGTGAACCAGGGTGAACCAGGGTGAACCAGGTGAGCCAGAGGGTGAGCCAGGGTGTGAACCAGGGTGAACCAGGGTGAACCAGGTGAACCAGGGTGTACCAGAATAACCAGACTGAACCGGGTGAGCCAGACGGTGAGGCAGGGTGTGAACCAGGGTGAACCAGGATGAACCAGGTGAGCCAGAGGGTGAGCCAGGGTGTGAACCAGGGTAAACCAGGGTGAACCAGGTGAGCCAGAGGGTGAGCCAGGGTGTGAACCAGGGTGAACCAGGTTGAACCAGAATGAACCTGGGTGAACCAGGGTGAAGCAGGGTGAACCAGGGTGAACCAGGGGGCTCCGTGACCCGTCCCGGGGGGTGCCCCGGGACAGGGATCCTAAATCCTAAATCCTAAACCCTAAATCCTAAATCCTGAATCCTAAACCCTAAATCCTAAATCCTAAATCCTAAATCCTAAACTCTAAATCCTAAACCCTAAATCCTAAATCCTAAATCCTAAATCCTAAATACTAAATCCTAAATCCTAAACCCTAAATCCTAAATCCTAAATCCTAAACCCTAAATCCTAAACCCTAAATCCTAAATCTTAAATCCTAAACCCTAAATCCTAAACCCTAAATCCTAAATCCTAAATCCTAAATCCTAGGATGATGCTCCAAATCGTGGGGTTTAGGGTAATCAGTTTAACACTGCAGGACTGTCGCCTGCACGCAGGTTCACTTAGCTCTAAGCGTCGACCGTCTTCACCGGACGGATCCAAGTCGGCGTCCACTAGGGCTGAAGCCCATCGCGTGGACGCACCGCGACCACCAGTGGGGACGCGGTAGCGACCGCCGCCAGCGCTAGCTGGGGAAAGCGGCGGTCTTTGTTTAGGGTTTAGGGTTTAGGGTTCAGCAGCTCTGACTTTGAACATTTCATGTCAGGCTATTTCTAGTCAAGCTATCTTCTAGAAGAAACCCCACCCGCCCACAGAATCCCATTACATTAGATTTAAGAGTTTATTTCTTTTGGCTTGAATCTTTAAAAGATCACTTACATACAACTATTACAGATCGTAACTTTTCACTCTTTCGATCAAGCAGGTGCTGTTTCTTTACAGTCGTTCTCGCCACACGCTTCACTTTAAGAAATTATTTCTGCCGACCAGCTTTCTAAGAGAGCTAGTTAAGAAACACAACATCGCCCTAACCCGC